TACTACGTTATCAAGGCAGCTAATTCCCCTTTTGTTGGACTCAAAAATACTCAAGTTCTGTTTTTATTTTTGTAATAATGTTTGCATGTAGCGTTGAGTATATATGCAGACATACATATATATCTGTAGTTCAGATTGGTTAAAATTGAAATCATTCACAATAACCCATGTAACTATAAAGAACTACTTAATTCACAAATAAAATTGGTAATACAAATATGAAAATACTTATTGAACAGGACTTCTTCCTTCAACAGGGTAGAGGTGCTACAATGTTGACATTACAGTCTGTGATACAAATTTGGGGGGGGGGGGGGGGGCGAGGGGTCCTGACTTGGCAGTGAGATTGGTTCACTAGTCCTTATGCAACCTTGTTAACTTCCGGGAGTTTTCACTGCGTGAGGACATTTGGAGCAAGCCTAATGGGCTTAGCTAAGCAAACAGTTGGTGAATTGATTACAGTAACGTCCGTTATTAGAATCTTCCACTCATTAGGATGTTTTGATTTGCTGAGAGCTAAAAACACAGGCTTAATAATGCAGTTGAACTGAGTGCCATGTTGCCATGTCCTTAGAAGTCATGGTGAGAATACTGCATTGTCAAATGAGGAATAAGCACTCTTCAATTAAAAAAAATAAAGGCAGTATTTCCAAAGAAGCTTCCACGTTAGGCACTGACAAAATTTGCAGAGCCTTTTTGAAGTTTTAATTTAAAAGTGAGCAAGAAATGCAAAAGTCAGTTTGAAAGTTTTTTTTAATTTAGTCTTTTTATTTAATTTATAATTTGCTTCTATGATTACTGGCTCATCAGCTTATGCCAATATGTAAATTTCAGTTTCTACAAGGAAAGGATAATTGCATGTGAAGGCAAATTGGCTTTTAATTTGTTTTCTGTGAACTGGGTTTTTTACGCAGTGCTTTACAGGGAAGCATTTTTCCATATTCTTTGATGAAAACACACAAGAAGGTTGGTGTTTGTCACTGCTGTTATAGGTAGGTGTCTTAAAATACTGAACCCTCTTAGAGAGAAATACCTTAGATAAAGGATCTTTCTGCTTTTATTGGAAAACTTCAGCAAAATTTTTTGCATTTCGTTTTATTAAGAGATTTCTGAGAAGCAGCTTATGGTTAGTTCGTTTGTGCCCCATATAGGTAAGCTAGCTAATTAGAGTTGAAGTATTTTGTTTTAATGCAGCAAGAACATAGTAAAAAGTAAGGTAAAATCTTGAGTAATTTTTTTAACCTGGTATGTACAGATATGAAATGCTTTTCTCTTTCTCTTCTGAAATTTTTATAGCGAGTGGAGAACGGTGACTTCAACTGGATTGTTCCGGGAAAATTTTTGGCGTTTAGTGGACCACACCCAAAAAGCAAACTTGAAAATGGTATGGTTTATATTTTATTACTATTCTATGATCTTATTTTTTCCAGCATGTTAAACAGTCACAGCAAATGAGAAGAAGATAATAGAGGTTTATAGATTAATTTTCATCTTCAGAAATAATTATCTAGTGAACATTTGATATATGATCATAGAACTTAATTCCAAAATGTTTGGAATTCTTCTTTGCTAGAAGAATTCTAATTCTTCTAACAGTCAGTGACAGAGTGCCTGAGAAATTCTGGTCCCTTACTTTTCTCCTGGAACCTGACACCTGATACGATAAGTACGCAGAATTAAAGGTGAGTTGTGTATAGCAAAGGAGATGGTATTAAGAGTTTTGTAATAAGGGCCAGGGAAGATTTTTAAAGGCAGCTTGTCTTTACTACTGAAGATTCTTGGGATAGTGGGAAGAACCTATGTGATTCTAATGGAATAAAAAAGAAAAACTTGACTGAGAGGGAAAGTGTAGATTTGGTCCAGCTAAAAGGAAGTCATTTAAACACTACAATCAGATTTTTGATGAATTTCAACTTATTCTTTGTGCCACGTCACTTTGTTTATGTGAGCATGTTTTCTGAATATCTACCTGTTTCTTTTTTTTCACTTCTGCTCTCTCATGTTTTCTTTGTGGCTGGGATGCTGCTAATTGCATAGTGTCCACTGAAGATTTAAACAAAATCCAGGGAGAAAATATTTAGGTTGGTTTGGATTTCTTCCTCACTCGCTGTTACAGTCCCTTCTTGCAGAACTTTTTCAAAAATTATTTAAGTTGTTACATGGAATTTGGAAAACCTGTGTTTTATTTTTAACGTGTACATAACTGAAAATTCTGAAGTTAATAATGCTTAAAATCCAGTTATGAGGCTACAAATAAGCCTCATGCATGTGAGTTTAAGTGCACATTACAAAGCTACGTTTTTCTTGTTATGTTGTGACTCTGATTGCATTTACTAATGCATATATGACTTGTGGGAATGACCCATGTTTTGTTAGGAAGCTTTTGAATTTTATTTGAACAGGAATTCTGGAGATAAACCAGTGGATTTGGTCAGTGACAGACTTGATTCTTGTGGTAGCTACGTTGTTCCTGTGTTTTGTTTATAAGACTTAATTGTTAATGGAAAAGAATAAACTACGTTTTACATCCATCTGTACCATAGGCATGTGTGCATGTGCATGCACTCCCTCACAGCCTCATTAACAGAGAACATCTGTTTGGTGAAAGTGTCCTTAAACAGTTGTGATGTGGTTGGTCTTTGACCTCCCTCCCTTCCCCTCCATCTTCTTCTAGAGGATCCTTTTGTCTCTCAAATGAACCAAAGCACTAAAGCTTTTTTACTTCCCAGTGGAGAAAGGATATTTCTAGTACTACAGTTTATCCTTTGACTGTTCCTCCTGTCCATAGTATAGATCACCAGTCTATTTTCCTCATAAACAGTGTTTCCTCTTAAAGAATGTTCTTATTCTTTGATCTGCACTTTGACTATTCATAACAGATGTTCTGAAATGATGAATTCATGTATGTGCCTAGCTCTATGTATAAAACCCCACTTGTAGAGAGGAATGGGCTAAACAGGAGACCATACAGTGTTTAATCTATTTTTTCCTGATCTTTTTTTTTTGGTTATGGCGGTCTTCATGAGTGTTTTGTGGAGAATTTTTTTATATCACTTAACATGTTTATTCTGAGTAAAATATTAAAACATTTTCAGTATTAGCATGTTTATAATTCAAAAAAGGTTTTGGGGGCAATTTTGATTAGTAGGACTTTGAACTTCATCTATAACATTAAGTGATTGTTGCTTGATTTTTTTTATAGGTTATCCTCTTCATGCACCTGAAGCCTACTTTCCCTATTTCAAGAAACATAACGTCACATCAATCATAAGACTAAACAAAAAAATTTATGAGGCAAAACGTTTTACTGATGCTGGTTTTGAGCATTATGACCTGTTCTTCATAGATGGAAGCACACCAAGTGACAGTATAGTTCAGAGGTTCCTGAACATCTGTGAAAATGCTGACGGTGCTATTGCTGTACATTGTAAAGGTACGTGCACTTATTTATTTCTCAGATTGAAGTTCAAAATAAGTATAAATCTGTAGAGCTTATTCCAGAAATAAAGTATTTAAAAAAATAACACTTTCTGGTTGTGAAAGTAATATCGCTTTATGGTACTTGACTAAAAATATGACAAATATTTGTTATTTTCATATGCATGTTAAGTTCTTTCATCCTACACTACCACTTATGGTAACTGACAATCTGTTGTTCATTGTTCTTTTTTTTTTTTTTTTTAATATCACTTGAAGGCGTGAGTTTTAGCTGATGGACGTTTCTCTTCTGCATTATGCTTTCACAGCAGTATGATAATTGGCTGTGAAATACAACAACAGACTGAAAGGTTTTCTTTGTGCTTTTGGACTGTTCTACATTTTTGTGTGGAGAATGACTTCCACATTTTGAGTTAATGTGAGTTATTGTGATGCCAGCATTTCAAACTAGCTTATTTCAGCAAATCAGGCAGAAAATACACAAAACATGCTTAGTCAAGACCGGTTAACAAAGGCTTTGAAGGGTTTGGCTTGATTTATGTTTAGAGTTGTGTAAGGACATTGTGGAGATGAATGTCTTGCTGATCAGAAACAAGAACAGTGCTATTCATTTGTAATTTTTCCATGAACAATAAACATGCATATCAAAGATAAATAAGTTTGTTTGATAACAAGTTGTTACTGTGACTAGAACCCAGAAATTCTGGCATTAATAAGCTGGACATCTGCTAGTTGATTAAATGAGAGTATAAATTATTGATTAGCAGGAGTACGTTGTTATTCTCCAGGCTTAGTTGCACTTGCTAAACTAATGTATTTTTGGTCTTTTGTCTGACTATTTAATAAGCCAACCAGCAATCTCATTCTTGCTATGTTTTTGACACCTTTTAAAATAAACCTATACAAAGTCAAATCAACAGTTAACTCAGTTAATGTATTGTCTGTGGTTTTCTTGTACTCTTATTGCAGAAGTATTCCAAGCACAGATTCCACAGCAGAAATAGCAAAGGGTTGCTATGGAAAGTTTGTATATTAGCAGGATCTTAGAGAAATTAATTGAAGTCGTAGTGATATATGCAGTTTAGATATTACCTGCAATTTTCAGAGACCATTTTCTTATTTAGATGTATGTTTAGTATAGTAGAGCTCTTTGTTATCTATTTGCATTTTGCATTCCTTTTGTGTTTAAAAAACAAAACGAAAAACCCAAGCCCAGAGCACTCTCTCTAGCAATACTTCCCTTTTTTAAATGATTCTTTAGAGCTAGTCTTTTAACATACAGTTATAGGATCTCTCTATTTGTGAACTTTTACCTGAATCATCTTAACTTTCCAGAAAGTCACAGCAAGATTTAATTATTGGTGAAATGTAAAGAGCTTGTAGTTGTGTATAGAATTATCAGCAAGGATGTTCGGCTGCATAGAGATTTTTCCATTTAGATAGTTGTTGGTGCATAAACAATAGCTGGCGCCCATGAGACTGTAAGTTGCAAATACTGTGTTTGTGGGAAAATAAGGTTTAAATGAGGAGACGCTTTACTAGTAGATAAGACACAGGGCTAGAAAGAGATTAATTCTTACTCTCTAGTTAGAGATTTGTCTGATAGTAAAAGATAATTTTTTTGTCTCTCTCTTCTCCCCTTAAAACCATGATTAGTTTGTGATTTGGGGGGCAATGGCTTAAATTATTTTAAGCTATTGATACACAAAATAATATGCTGGTCAACATTCATTTCTGTTTATACAGATAGCAGTGAATAGTTTTATAGGTTGGTTTCACAACAAAACTGATTCAAAAAGAAAAAGCCACTGCCTGGGAAGACAGATGCTGCTATCTGTTGTGATATGCATGTGTGTTTGCATGTATTTCAACCTTGATTTGTAAAATATGTGTGGCCTGTCAAAGGTACTTTTGTTTTTTACTGGTTTTATAAATATAAAATTTGTATCCAGCTTGGTCACTGCCTTTTAAAATATCAGCCTTTTTAAAAAAAAAACAACAGGTTTGAAGTAGAATTGTACAAGTGCCAAGAGTGATCACTGTTGCATGTGTTCTTAGATGCTGCCAACATTTTAACTTATGTATGATATATACTTATATCTACAGCATTGACATCCAAATATATGACTGACGGGATACTGAATCAGGAATTCTTTCTTCAAATATTGAGGTGGTGAATAACATCGCAAAGAAGTCTTCTCGTATCTCATACATTAATTTGATAATTATGAAATGCTCATGACTTCATAGGTGAATGTTGATGTTTTTGTTTCTGTAGCTGGCCTGGGGAGAACAGGAACACTAATTGCCTGTTACATAATGAAACACTACAAGTTCACACATGCTGAAGCCATTGCTTGGATAAGAATATGTCGACCAGGCTCTATTATAGGACCCCAGCAACACTTCTTGGAAGAGTATGTATACCTTCTTTGCTACTAAGAATCAACTGCTTCTCTACGTCCTTATCCATCTTGCAGTATTTATAGGATCTACTTTCTGTCTACTGACATTGTGTATTCCTGCCTGTTGCAATATATTTAAGTTTAGTTGATTTGGGATTGAAATCAAACTTAGTAGCAATGGTCTTCTGTGGAGTCCTATGCATTTTGTCAACTAAAGGAGCATAGGGTCTCAAGACTCTGCATGTTTGTGTTCTGGGGGATTTAGGAGTTCAAGACAAATGTGTTGGAAGTGTAAAGTCTGGATGTGGACAAAAGATTAAATCAACAATAAGAATTTATTAAAATCTTAACATAGAAAGGATGGGCTTTCTATACTTTGTATATAACCTTTGGTGACACTTAAAATTAATCTTACAATGGTGTAATCAATATGTTGGGTTTTTTTTCTTGTAACTAAAGATTTTAAAAGTACGTGGTAGACAGCTTATGATCTCTGTCGGATTCCTAGCATAATGTATGAAGTCTTTCTGATTTGGAGCTAATAGTCATTAACAAAACAAATGTATGGTTATAATGCAGCTCTTTCTCAAAAGTGACTGTACACTTTGGTTTGAGAACCTTTCATGTACAGATGATCTGAATGGGTGACTCAAGGTTTGATCCTGACTGGAAATGAATGACAAAACTGCACTGGCTTCAGTGATGTAGACATAAAGCTGAATTTCATAGTGGTTTCTACATTGTGCATTTACTATTATAGTGGTTATGCTGTTATTTTTGAGTTGATACCATGATTATGTTTAGTTGGAGGCATTTTCACTGTTACAAGAAAAAAAATATTTAAAAATCCACCTCTTTTCTCCAAAAAGAGACAAATTAGAGAGTGCAACAGCTCTGCTAAATACTGTGTAAATACAGTAAAACACACACTGACCTTGCATCTTAAAATCCATAGGATATGAGAGAGAAAGAAGGAGCAGTACTGTCATTCATAAGAGAAATTGAGCATAAATGAAGGTTCCTATTTATTTTCCAGTGCAACTGAATGGGCACTGCTTTATTTGAAAGGTGGACTGCCACTATTCAAAATACTGTGAATCACAAATTTTCACAAACCACAAGTGCTCACTGAAGGCAGGTTAAACTTCTCCACACGGTGCTGCTGCTTGGAATGATGCACTCTTAAAAATAACTTCCACAATAGAGCAGAATTAAGAGAGAAGGGTAGTGGGTAGTGTGATTAGTAATTGCTGTGTACTTGAAAATAGGAAAAACAGGGCCCATGTCTTTTCTGCAGCGGCATATAAATAGTTGGTTTGATTTTACAGATAAGCAAAGATCCTTCAGATTTTTTAAATTCGTACTTATATTATTCATAGCTAAAAGCTGTAGTATTGTTCAGTAAAAATTGTTGTCCTAATGACAATAGATACCTGTTTTGACAATCAGACAAAATTCAAGCAATGTCACCAGTAGTGTCAAAATGGGGTTGAGAAGGAAGGAGCTAACATCAGTTGCATCGTTCTAATACGAAATGTCTTGCCCTTAGGGCTGCAAAATTGCTTCTGACAAAAAGGTAGAATCTTGCATCTTTGATCTCCAAACCTTTATACGTGTCAGAGCTTCATCTCTTAAGTTCTTTGAGGTTTAATAAGGGAAATTTGAGTAGGTTTTTTGTAGAGACCCTCCCGCCTAAGTATGTATCAAATCAGTTTATTACTGAGATTGCAATTAATCTTGATTCAAGCATGTGTTCTAGGCTACTTCTGTTAGATGGAATAAGTGGAAAACCCCCCCCCCCCCTCCTCCTCCATTCTCTTGATGTTTTCTTGGGACATAGTGAAGTTTTTCTGGAAGTTCTTACCTTTACCAATTAGTATTGAGCAAGTTTAGGCAGTTGACTCAGACTGCTCAGCTCTTAAGGTGTGACATAATATTTTGTTTTCAGACAAAGAAAAGTTTCCAGTTAAAGTACGTTCTGATTTAATTCCTCATTCTTTTTTTCTCTGTTCAGTATAGTAATTTAATTTTCTTACAATAATATGTAATAGGATCTCAGTTCTTGGATGGAACTAGCATGACAGGTACCTACCCAGCAAACTTCCTTATTGAGGAATAATGCAGTCTCATCAACAAAAGCCTGCTTAGCCCATATGCATTGTAGCAATTAAATTACAATTTTTTTTTACCACCTGTCTGAAGGATATAATATTTCATTTTCTGAAAATTGATACTTGAGTTCTGTTCAGCTTTACATGACTATGACCACTTCCACTGTACAGGTTAGCTGTAGTTTTACAGCACAATATCTGTATACACGAAACTCACGCTAATAAGTTGGAAAGCACTATATCATCATTTATTCTACACATTACGTATATAAAAGCATTATTTTATATACATTTTTAAGTTGTGTTGTAAAAGCCTTTAAATACCATTGCAAATTCCTGTTTAGTTAATATCTTTTCCCATTAGGATTTTGTAAAATTTTTAGTACCTGTAATATTTCTGTGATGGCTACAGACTTGTTTGCTGATTCTAGGAGGGCGGTGGTTTGTTGTTGTTTTTACGTATTGCAAATTATGAAGTTTTTTTGTGATAGACATTCAAATTTTTTTTTCCAGATGAAGATGTACAGAAGATTCAAATGTTGGCAATCTGAGTAATGTGTTTTCATATTGTTTTTTATGTGTATGCAAATTTGTTGATGTGAACTGCTTTGGTTTTTATCCTAAAGGAAGCAAGCAATGTTGTGGCTGGAGGGAGATCTCATCCGATCAAAGCAAAAACAATGCCTAGTTGATGGAAACATTAACAGAGTTCTTTGTGGCTTGAGTGACATTTCAATCAGTGACAGCTTGAATAAAGTACAAGACTTGGATCAATACAGGGAGGTAAGTGTTTGTAAGAAAAATTTCAAAGAAGCAGAGGTGGAGCTGATCTTTTAATAACTAGCTATAGATAATTTTTAGATATTTTCAGGCTTGTATTACTACTAGATTGCTTTTTCAGAGCTAAACTTTTTTTTAATAGGTCATAATTAGAACAAATCTCCTTTTTCAAAAAGAGAAATAAACTTATGTTTAAAACAGTTATAGGTAATTTTGCGAACTTTCTAAAGCTAAAAGTAGGATAAAACTCTGAATTCAGTTCATGCTATGTTCCTTTCTAAGTTCTCATTTTGAAATTTTTTTTCAAAACTATATTTTTCTAGAGGTCATGAGAACTTCTTATTTTAAAAAAAAATTAGTAATTTAGGAAAGCTGATTTTTAGCTCCTCTTGCAGGACACACAACTTTATCTAAATTTCTTCCTCATCTTGTGCATATCACAAAATTGTGTGTTACTGCTTCCCTTCCACATGGATGAGAGCTTTAAAAATAGTTATGGAGGAAGGAGTTGGAGTTTTAAGTTCTATAAAACCAGACTTCTTTGAAGTAAATGAATACTGGGATTAAACTTGAGCATCCTGAACCTGACTTTGAGGTCAGATTCTGTGAAAAGCCTCTGTAAATGTATATTTGTACAGTGACACATTTACTTTACCGGAACTATTCAAAAACAGAGTAATGCCCCATGTATGCAGAAGACTGTAGATTAGCCTTTTAAATTATAATCTTTGTAAAGGAGATGTTCAATACTTTGAAACTACGCTTGTCCTAAGGATTTGATATATTTCCTTCCTTGCATACTCTGTGTTTCCCAGAATGATTTTGAAGACAAAGCAGGTGTGGAAACTCAAAATGGCATGACACAGGGAGATAAGCTTAATGCCTTAAAAAGTCGGAGACGGCAATGTTCTGCTACAACTGGAGCTCTGAGGTAATTAATTAATTCCAAGGTAATTTTCAATTTTAAATTCAGTCTGTGCTATCAGATCTTCATGGCAAGTACATGGCCTTGCCTTCTGTGGTGGATATTTCTCGAGGTGTATATCTATTAGTTGCAGATTTGGTTTATTAATTTCTTCTTTTTATTTTCCTGTCTTCCTCTTCAGGATACCTACTTATTATGTAGCAGTAAAAGACAAAGTAAAAAAAAAAAAATTCCAAAACCTTCAAATTTATATCTATCTAGCATTTTAAAACATCCCAAACAAAATGTTCCTCAATAAAGTTAGTTATCTTTCTGTAATTACTTTTCTGTACTCCATATATAAACTTTGAATTTTTCAGAACCAGTAAAAATATGAAGTTTGAAAATAAACCTGAAGTACTTCTCTGTGGTTTAACTGTAAATTAAAATAATGATTGTATATAATTCTTAACTCTTGTCAGTCTTGCACTTTAAACCCAGTATGAGACATGCAAATATGCGGAGGGGAAAGGCTTTTTATCCTTTGATAAAGATTGCTGTTTTTGGTTTCTTTAGGCTGCAAGACATGAAACTGCACACCAGGTCAAAATCACAACCTTTCAGGTATTAACTTTAAAATTATAGTTCGTAAATGTAAACCACCCAGGTCTCAAATTCTCAGTGTTTTTAATTATACTTATCAAATCAACTGATTAGCAATTTCAGACTTCTGAAAAGTGGCAAGTAACGAACTTTTCTAAACACCTGCAAATGGAGGGGGGGGGGAATAAATTTAATGGACAGAGGGGTACAGCTCTATGTTAGGGATGTTTTCAATTCTTCTTAATAAATAATTAGCACATACAATTTCCTCAGTCACATTTTCTAATATCTATGCTGTTCTGCAGTGAAGGATGACCAGCCAACTCATAACCACTTTTTCTCTGTAAAATTATATACTTGCCTCAAAAGCCTAAATTGGATACGTATTGCCTCCATATCACAATTGTCCTGTTTGTTTTAGTAGATGAACTAGAGGTATTGCTTAGTGGATACAATCAGTGGAAGATGTACTGGATAAATATTGATTTTTAGTATCTTTTTATATTTTAATACAGGGTCTTCACTGTCTACTTTATTACATACTTTGTTCAGAACTTCCTGTGGAGCCAATAAAGCCAATAGTTTCTTCTCATTTTCTAAATGTTTATTTATTTTATGACCTGTACTGATTTCAAATGAGTACTGACAGTGCTCCTCCAAAAGAAAATAAAATGTAGAATGAAAATTGACTTAATTTTACAAGTTATAGGAATGGCAGAATTGAGTCTTTTGTTTGTGTAACCATTGCACCCTTTACCCCATTGCATCTAAAATACAATGTGTAAGACAGAATAACTGTCGTTATAAAGCATTAATATTGAAAAGAACATGTTATCTTCATTTTTGTGACAACCTGGATTTTTGAGGTGGATTACTCCAGATGTCTAACCTTGGAGAGGTCTGTTTACCCTTTCTTGGTGTGGAATTAAAGCTATTTCTCAATGTCATTCCTTCTGTGCTGTAGCTTGTACTGAAGGTCTTTCATCCTTTAAGAGCTGATGATGAGAATATCCCCTGGACTAAGGATGGAGAGAATTTCATACAACTGCAAGGATATTTGTTTGTTAGTTTTTAATAAACTAATATGGACAGCTATAATGCTAACATTTTTTGAGTAGTCCAGTGTACCATACTTATAGCTCATTATCAAAATATGAAGAATTTAGTCATAAGAGTCCCACCCTAGAAAGAGCTGTATGTTCTGTGCAACTTTGTAAAAATCTTCTTGTTGTCATTTGGAAATGACAATGTTCTTCTCATGAAAGCTACAGTGTTGTTTTTTTTCTACTCATTTTATCAGCACAAAAAGTATTATTTCTCAACTTTACAATATTTAAAACTTATGATCAAATTTACAATAAATTTGATACAAAATGGACACTTAGCCCTCACAAATTATCAAGGTGAAAAGAGCCTATAACTGCATAATATGGTACAGCAAGGGAAAAACTTGAGTGGGATATTTGAAACATTTTTTGAAAATGTATTTGAAAACAGGCAAATGGGAGTTTTCACTGTTGAGTTCTCAGTACTCAGACTTGAGAATTCCCCCTTTTTAAAATACCAATCTATGTATTGAAAAGACTGAATGTGTTTCTGAGATGTATATTTCAATTATAAAAATCTTGCTTCTCACTAAAATTTTGCATTCCTTTTAGACTGAATACTTCAGGTAGCACAGATGGATCCATGTCTCCTCTGAAGGCCTCCAAAGTGATGGCAGTTAATTCTCCATCTGCAGAAAGAATAAGCAGAATGTCCCCATCCTCAGGCTCTAACCTTAAAAGGTATACTTACTGTATGCTACAGTGGTTTTCAGCATACATGCAGTCTGTGAAGTGCTTGCTGTTCTTGGGTGTAAGAAGGGTTAAATTTACTTACAAAGTGATTTGCTGTTCCACTAGACAAACTTGAGATTTAAACAGATTTGAAAAACAAATAAAAATGAAAACCTATACTACTGGTGTAAGAGTTTTGGTGGAATCATATAAAGTCAAACAGTATTACGTTGCTCAGGGTTTTTTTCTTACTCATCTGAGTTTATAGAGTTTTGCAAGTATTCCCACAAGTCCATATACTACTAATCCCAGAAGAATACTGAGTGGTAATTAATATGTTTTTTATGAACCCTTGATTTATTGCTATTTAATTCCATTATTGCTATTGTACTAAGTAATTATGGATGTTAAATGAAATTTAGAATGATTGATGCAGTTTTAAAAACTTCTGGGCACAAATATTTAACTGAAGAAAGTAACTAACTTTAAGATATTTCAGGATGCTCTGGTTTTATTTTCAAACTTTATCATATTATTTCCTGGCTACTTGAAGCCTTGTGTCACGTTACTGATTTCAAGAAACAGAAGAGTTCTTGAGCTGTTACATGTACACAAAGTACTTCAATGTAGATCAGCCATGGCTTAAACTTTTTAACACCATCTCCTGCATGTGCATATGATTTGACAGGTGAAAGCTGGCCATGGTAGTGCTTGAATAAACAAAGTCTGGGAACTCCTGACAAAGAATTCTGGTTTTCATTAATTGAGAGTTAGAAGATGAACCTGTGTGCAAACACAAATTATTTCAGAATGATCTATGTTATTCACCTAATGTCTTCTGAATTGTCATTTTTTGTATATGTCTGTACATACCTTGTGTGTATTTTTTTTTCCCCACATGTGTTTTCCATTCAGCGTTTCCATAAACTCCAGACTAGCGAGTTCTCTAGGGAACCTGTATGCTGCTTCAGATGATGATGAGAGCAAAATGACATCATCGTCCTCTAGGACAGGTTTTTCTGTAAGCCAAATCTCCAGCCAGTTGAATGGCAGCTTGCAGCTGCCTCACAGAAATAACCATGAACTGAACAACAACTTATACAACAGAAACGGCAGTAGTGGCAACAACCTGAGCAGCCAAACCAGTTTACACAGCACCGTGACAGATGAGTTTGCATCAGCCTTCCTTTATGGGCCTTACAACTCCTCCAGCACGATACCAGAGTCAATCAATTCCTGTAAGTTCATAGTCACAAAAGCACTTTCAGGCATCTGACCGATGCTTATCTTCTGTGCTTCTGCGAGCAAAGCTGTCACAAAAAAATCTTAAACCAGCTTAATTCTCTTGACTTCCTTTAATGTTTCTGACCAGCATCTTTGTCTATTTCCTTTTTAAGTAATTATCATTTCAGCTGCTTTTTTTTTCAATCTCTTTCAAGCATCTAGATCATGGAGGGTTCAGGAAAATAAATCACTCCTAACCTTAAACTTTAACACCTTTTTCTGATATCTTTTTTGTGGACCTTCTTAGCCTTTAGATTTTTTTATTTCAAATTATTCATAACATAGCTTATAAGTTTATTATGTATCTTCATTCAGTAACAGATTTAAAGAAGCTTTTGTATGTATTGTACTAAATGGAAGGTACAACATTCTTAAAGATAGGACTCGTTTGAAAGATTAATCCACTTGACTTGCAACCTAGTTCTTATTTAACATCAAATGTGAAAAGTATTTTAGAGCAAGATATTTTTGATGAGCTCACCATTTTAGCTTTCATTCTTCAACAACTTCGCTGCCATGGGCTTATTTTGTGCCCTTTTTCTGTTTGAAAGAGTCTATATAAAGAGGATGCACAGATAAATTAGTGCAACTTGAAAGTGATTCTATACAAAATGCAGAGAAGAGAAATTATAGAAACTTCAGTTATGAAATCAGAAATTATTTTAGCTATTTTAGGGAAAAATGAACATTTACTACTATAAATCTAAAACCAATTTAAAATATCTGGTTTCCGAAGATTTTATATACTATTAATTATAAGAATTTAGTGCAGTGTACTTAATAGAATATATTTCCTACAATTAATTGAACCTGTTGGCTTCTGTTTAGTAGTAGTGACACTTCAGTTTTTTTTTTAGCTGTTTGAAATAAAATTCCCTTCATATAAAATTACCTACAGAATATTACACCTTTCTTTTCTGTTTCGTTGCCACTGATAAATTGTTTCAGTACAAAGAAAGTTTTAGTGTTATACCTGCTACTGTTTCTGAGTGTGGTGAGTCCCCTGTTTTAAAACAGCTAATACGCACATTGTATGTAACTAAGATGTGAGCCAAAAAGATCGTTATGGTTTGTGTTCTCTTTTTCCTGAAGAAGTGGGGGATCTACCCTCACATTAACAGCTAGTATGTGGCACCACTTACAGTTCAGAAGCCACCTGTTTATAGCTTGTAAGTATGAATTGCACTTCCTGAGGATACATGACAGTAGGAAATAAATTCTCATTGTTCCATTGTGAAATTGAATTGCATATGTGACTGAAACCTAACTAGTATACTAAGTATATTGAAAATTAAGTTAGAGAGAACTTGATTCTGTATTCTCATAAATTCAATGGATACTTCCACTGGAAGAGGAGTGGAGTTACTATGCTAGAATGTGCTTGACCTAAAACAACTCTTTAAAATACTTGCTGCTCTCAGACTCCTTGTTTGAAAGTACATTTATTTTCTTATCCACAAAAACTTATCTGGAAATAAATGTTACTATTCCATGATCTTAGGATCACATAGTGTTCTCCATTGAGTTGAAATTTGAGCATAAAATTTACTTTAAACATCAGCAGTAACTTACATGCAAGGGTCTTCTTGAATGTTACTGCATCCTTTCAGTTTTTTTGTAGTTGTTTTACCTCTTTAATTTGGCTGTGTTTTCACCTGCTACATGGGATTGAGGTAACTATATATAATTGTGATTTTTCTCAAGTTGGATATAGAAATTTTTATAGGAGTTTTCTTATTATTAAACTAGTTCTAGAACAAGAGAACTGCTTTAGTGTGATTAACTAATTTAGTTTAATTCTTCCTGGTGTAGAGATGAGAAAAGAGGTGAAAAGCTGTATAGCAAGCTGGGGATGTTTGATTTGAGACACATCCATGATGAGTCTTTCATTTGTTCATGCATTCTAATGGTTCTGGAAAGTCAGCCTTTTTAGGTGTTTCTAGTCTTTTATCCCACATGCTTACAGAAGTTCAGTCCCCGGGAGGACTGAGAGAGGCTCCAGTTGAGTATATTGGAACCAAAGTCAATACGTCAGCAGTGATAGAGAGCAATCAGTCATCTGAATAACTAAGTGGTAACGTGTCTGATTTTTTTTTTTTTAATTCCCACCTTCAATATTGTCTTATTTAATGTATTTGAACAATAATTCTTTGGAAAGTGAACCCATTCCCATTCGTTTCTGTTGTACTTTCTATAAATTATATGCTGCCAGCAGCAATTCTTAGGGGTTTTTGCAGCTGTAACTAGAATATGGAATATTATGCATAAATATGTAAACCTACATGCAGAGCCCTAAGGGGAGGCAGTGCCTTATAGCTGTAATGTGACTCAGTCATGAAAATAAACTGACATCATTCACCATAAGCCAAAAGTTACAAGCGTACCCAATGATAATACAAACCATTACAGAAACAATCAGTGCATTTCCTCAAACAGCTTAAAAGGTTGAATGAAAAGATAAGTTCTTAAAAACTAAGAACTGTTATCTGCTTTGGAAAGGTAGTTGCCATAGCTTTATGTCACAAATAATTTTTAACAATGAAAGCAAAGTAGCAAACTTGTTCCATAAGCATAGGCTAAGAAATTAAGTAATGGTTGACACTTTGTTTCTTATTTATGTCTACATACTTACAGAATTCTAGGTTAACACTATGCTTCTGTTTAAGCTGGTAAAGCCTCAAGGTTCAACATAATGGAATTGACACAAAAATGCCCCAAATATATGTGGGGAGAGGGGCTGGGTTTACAGTGTAATTGTCTCTTCTAGTATTGTAGCACACATCTGCTTAGATAAGGGTGAGTAAAATACTTAGGAAAAGGGAGAAAAGCAAAGAAAGTTGATTACTGCTTAATTTAAGGAAGAGGAAAAGAGCAATTCATGAACATGTGAACAACCATCTTGACATCAGAGAGGGACTATACCTATGCGCTTCTTGGTAAAGAGGGAAATTAATTGTTCCTTTTCAATAAAAGTATTAAGTCACTTAAAATAGTTATTTAAATGAAATGTGTTAGGCATAGTATAAAGCTTTAGGTTGAATGGGAAACATTTTTGCAGAAAAAGTAACTTTCTAGAATGCATGTTTCTCCTGTTCCAGGAACATTTTTAATCTTCCGACCTATCTTAATGACTTAGTAAGGCATGGAAGGATGTAAGGGTGTAACTCTTGAATAAGTCTTGGCTTTATATCATTTGCTAATTAGGAGTAGAGGTTATACACAGTTTAATATAGCAACATCTTTAAAGGAGATGCTATATCCAGTCTTCTCTGGAAGAGTGAGGTGAGAGAAAAAGGATTTTATGTCTTCTGATGTGAGAAGCAGCATTTCTGGGGAAGAATCATGCCATACAAAGTCTATGTAGCAAAATACAAGTTTCTGACTTACCTGTAAAGCAATCTTATTTCCATATAATAACGGTTAAACTGCATTCATGCTTGGAAGATGTTTTTCAAATATGTCCTGAATATTGCGTGTGCTTCTACCATATAGCCCTGTGCATCTATCACAATCATAGTGGAGTTCACTAAATTGTTGCCCATTTTACACACAACTGACTGAGTTGAGTGCAGGTACTGTGGTGTCACAGTGTTTAACACAAGGGTAGATAATCTGATCATTTAATCTCTGAATGCTTTCTGTCTGGTAGTGAGCCTCTGATGTGCTGGCTAATACAGTTCCATCTTGATGGTGGTTTATTTTGAAGACAATATAATTTTTCTTGATAATTGGTCCCACTGGTTGAATAGAGTCATGCTTAAAACCATTTCACTTTTAATCTGAAACTTGCTCTCTCTCTTAAATCATTGTTATAGTCTTCTACCTTATTTTCTTGTCATGAAGATATTTCATGCTAGTCATCTCAGCAAGTAAGTCTGTATCTCAGTTGATAAGCTAAGTAGGCTCAAAGATCCTTTTGGAAAGTGTTCAAATCCTTTACAGTTTTTTAAAATCCTTTTTCAAGAAGCAGATGCAACATTCCTAACATTAATTTTCAGGTCCAGAAAGCTGCTACTCTGTGCTGTCCTGCTTATAAATCCATAGTTTGTGTTAGCTTCTTTAACTGTAATTCATTGGAAGTTCATGGGGAGAAGTGGAAAAAAAAAAAAAAGTTCTTGTGTGATGGGTTAGCCCTAGGCTGGGGGCCAAAACCACACACACCCGCCCACACAATTTTTGCCCCCCCAGCCGAGGATAGGGGAGAGAGTTAAAGGGGTAAAGGGAAAAAAGGACTCGTGGGTTGAGATAAGGACAATTTAATAACTAAACTACAATAATATTGAAAATAATACTATATACCAATATACAAATGAGTGATACACAGGGATACTGCCCCCCCACCCGATGACGATCCCGGAGAAGGGAGAGTCCTGAAACCACACTCACGATTCCCCCAGGCGGGGGTGCACCGCTCCCGGAGGCACTCACAGAATGGAGATAACAGTCCATGCGTCCCAGACCGAGAGCCAACCAGGGTGGGGGGAAGGGGAAGGCCTTGGGAGAGTGGCCACCTGGAGTGAGACGATTCGGAGCCAAGAGAGATCGGGAAACCAAAGGGACCCGGAACAAAATGGGACGATCTTCTGGAGGGTCCTCACCTCTATACTGGGCATGATGTGTATGTTATGGAATAGCATAGAATAGAATTGGCTATTCTGAGTTTTCAGTCTTAACCTAAGAGCAAATCCTAGACCAGCAACTGGCTGTGCTTCTTCACTCGTCTGCCGACCTTGGCAGCAGCACAAAACATCAGTTCTTATCAGCTTTCTTCTGAGCACAAATCCAAAACACAGCCTCTTGGTAGCTATTATGAAGAAAGTTAACTCTGTCTCTGCTTAACCCAGGACATCTTGCCACCCAAGATACTGACTTGTATTTTAGTCCAATGTCGTGCATTCCCTGTTTTCTTTAATGTTTTGGCTCTATAAAAGCATCATCCTGTTTTTGGTTGTTTTTTTTTTTTTTTTCACCTCCCTTCTTAGTGGGACCAATTAACCAACAAAGAAAGGTTGTTTTGTCTTACCACTTCAACCACTGACATCCAGCTATTTTGTTTCTGGTGATATTCATCAGTGGTCTTAAGATCATGAGCAAAACATGGAGTAGTATCAAGTCTTAATACCAGTTCTGGCAGAATTCTGTTAAAAACAGAACTCTTTCATAATTTCCACTTCACTGCTTCAGATGCTGAAATTACTTGGAGGTCTTGTCAGACAAATCTTAGTCTTGTTGCAATAAGTGTTTGTATTACACTGCACATTTTTCTAATTGGAGCACATCAGATAATGACAAAAGTTCATTACGTATACTGGTGGTTATATTTTTTCATTTAACTTCCCTCATCAAAGAACTCTTGAATTATGAATTCTATTCATCTTCGTTTTATCAGCGGAATCTCACTTACCTGAGTTAGATATCAAGCTAACAATCTGTAATCGTATAGGTAGTCTAATTTAGAAAATCACCTTATCACTTTTATTTTTCTAAGTTTGTTAACTATCAGCATGAGTGGTGCAGGAACATTTAAAAATGGTTAGGACCGTAAATTTTCAGTTCTAATTAATGTTATTTGATCTAATTAGTGAGGAAGTTGGGAACTTCAATTTTATGCAATGCAAGTACATTTTTTTTCCAGTATTGAACAGAAAGTTATTCAATACTCTTTGTTTTGTAATGAAACATTTAAAAAAACCTATTCATTAATACGATTGTTCCACATTCCATTTAAAACAAAGAAAAAATAACCATGACTATGTCCTCCTGCTGTTGTCAGTCATATTTTTTCCCTAATGGTTTTTGTCCTTCATCAGTGTAGGCTTATAGTCCACTTCTTTTTATCATGTTTATGCTCTTGTATGCTGATGAAATAGAAGAAAAGCTTGATTTTCATAGATGAGACAGCTTGCCTTTCTAGCCAAATAGAGTATATATTTTATTTGCAAATTTTACCAATTGGATGTTTTGATTAAACAGAATCTCTTGCAATTATATTTTTACTTTGTTCTTACAGTAGTTACCAATCCAAATATCACTCTTTAAAATGTATTTTTACTGAAGAGTATGTAACTGGGTAGTCTTAAGATGAGTCACCTTTTGCTTCTATAGCTGTCATGGAAACTAGCAAGATGGAAATTTTTTTTAAAAATGAGAAGTGTAGCAGTATTTTAACATTCATATACATGATCTTTATACTTGTAGAATAGTTTTTCTTAGGAACTTACCATTAATGAACATAGATCAGCCTTTGCAAAAACAGACAAACACTAGTGCATCTTACTGAACTGTAAATTTATAGTAGACTCAAAGGATCACTTCACGTGTCTATGCATTTTCTGTAACATATCCTGAGTTATTTTAGTGGATCTTGTCTATTCACGGTAATTCTTGCCTGCTGCAACACTCCCATTGCAACAACGTTTTGGGAGAGTTACACTTATATTACTTTTTACAATTATCTGGCAAAAGTCCATGTTCAAGTCCGAAGAGATAGCCCTAAATGCTATAGGGCTGTTGCCTCTTAACTCACAGCTGACTTGGTCCTGAAGTTGAACGCATGTGAATATGGTTCTAGTGCCTGGATGGATCTGTGGCTTATTTTCTCTTCCAGAAGGCTTTCTGTGATTCCTGTTGAAGAAGAAAAGTGCTAGTGATCTAAGCAGTCGCTTCAGCATGAACTTGATTAGATAGCATTAACTGTAGTGACGCTATCGAATTCTTAGTTCTTTGTTTAAATGGCTGATACTTGGGTATAAAATGCCAAGCTTGACACTGCATGGGACCACTGTAGGAGTACACGTGGAGAATTCTACCCAATCAATTGATTTTATATTCTCATCATGGCAATTCAGCAGTTAATCTTCTTTAGGTTTTTTTCCTTCTATTTTTACCTCTATTTTAAATAAGATTTTTTAAATAAGACTTTGTTAAATACCAGCATATGACTTATAAAGGTGGACTGGGCCTTACTGTTTTTAATAAAGCTTTAAGAATCACAGGCCATACTTTGAGTCAGTGCAAATAGGAGGTAGAAATGTAAATTTTTAAACAGAAAACTCCTAAAAAAAGTAAAAAAAAAAAAAAAAAAAGAAAAAAATCACAATTACAGGCTTTGAAATATTACAGTCGGTCTCTTTGGACAATGTAAAGAAATTTAGTAGCACAAATTACTTAACTGCAAAAGCAAAAAAAACCCCAAAGACCACCAACCCTCCCCAGCTATAATGTAATTTTTCATACTAAAAAAAAAAAAAATAATCTGTATACTTTACAACAGCTCAGTTATTATGGCTATCACCATGTTTTTAGTGAGAGAAACTTTATGGGAAGTCGCATCAATTAATCTTAACCTGGAAAAAATGCTGCTTAGATTTAATTCTTCCCTGTCTTCAGAAAAGGCTTTGAAACATTGGGAAGAAGTCATTGCTATGTGAAGTAGAGCTATAGTGAGGGTGGGAACACACTGAAAAAACGTATTTCTCAATTTGAAAATAAATAAAATAAACCTTGCCTACCCATCTGTAATGAAAATTAACGAAACATGCTATCTTGTTTCCAAGCAATAGGTGCTGTGTGGTGTTTGTTCTTTTCTTATATGTTGCCATTAAATTATTTTGTATTTTTGTAACTTGGATTCCTAACAATTTTAAGAATTTTAGTTTAAACTTCAGAATCTTTATTTTATGGTTTGCTTGTTTATTTATTTAAGTTATGATGTAGAATTCCTGGTTACTACTGTCTGCTAAGTAAAGGGCTGCTGTTCACAGTTTTTTGTCAAGTAATGCTAGCTGATCCCAAGATCACCAAAAGTGTACTGTGTGTTCTGGTCATCTTTCATCTGTCCAAACTTAATCTACTACTGTACCACATATTAAAGTGTATAATTAATTTTTATGCATTTTTTAATGTTTGTTAATCAACTTTACTTGGAATTCAGTCTTGAAGGATCTATTTCAAATACTGCTCTAGTTAACTGTAACCATCTTTCTGATTGTTAAAATATACTTCTGAAAATGGGAAAGCTTTGAGGATAATTAAGAGAGCAGAAGTTTCAAGTGCTTATTAATGAAGGGCTATTCTTTCTGCCTCACTCTTACACATGTAATCAATAGTTTGACAAATGACTGGGGAAAAATAAGCTTCTATGATTGTGTATTCCATGGTGATTCTGAGCCTATAATGGAAAAATACTTCTTACATCTGTTTAGTTTTACAGTGAAGTATTTTCTATTAAGTTATACCCTTCACGGTGAATCTATTCAGTACTAAAACTGGACCCTTTTTAGTCAGTGGTATTCCAATCTTTATCTGCTGACAGCACTTCTTTTTCCACCTAGGAAAGACTATCCAGGTGGTCTCAGATCTTCAAGATGTGAAAATGCATTTAAAAGATAACTTTGGAAATATACACTGAGATTTAAGATATATTTTAAAAGTGGGTTTGTGATATTAGTTAGAGCTCTAAAGATTTATGTATCTCTTACGCACTTCTACTAATAGGTTTCACTGTGGATGCTAGAAAACATTCCCATAGTTACTAGTTAGGAATAGGGGTAAAAGAGACGAGAAGGCTGCAAGGTGCTGAGCTTTCTTGGGATTCATGTTGTTCTCCAGTAGTTCTCACCAGTTCTGATGAATTGATGCAGTTTTAAAATATGGTTTGGGTTTTTTTTTAATTTGCTATTTGTTTATAACCATACTAGTACAGTGAAGAGCGCTCTCAGATAAGACTTTTTGTTCATCAGAATGTCTTCCTGAACACATCTGTATAGGGGGTAATAAAATGTTTGGATGCTGTCTAAACTGATAAATTACTTTATAGTAAAACCTTAGACTTCAGTAGAACCAGAAATGTAAATAAATTGACCAGGTTATGCTTTCTTCTTAATTATACTGACCGCTTGCTAATCCAGATGAACCATTTGCCATGCCTCATTTTCATCTGGTTTTAGTAATCATACATAAATTTATTCATGTACATAATTGTACTGCTGTAGCATTTTTTTTTCTCAGTAATTAGCTATACCATGTATGTTTCCTGTGTCATTACCTGAGTTAATGTATAAAGTATGCTGTATTCTTTACAGTAACACTTTGATTCTCATTCAGGATAAACGGAAACAATTCAATTATAGTAACTGCAATTGTAAGTTTTTCCAACACATTTTTAACTTATTGTTTTAAGGTGGTGTTTTAAAGGACTTGTAACTCTTCCTTCAAGAATCTCTAGAATTTGGTTTGGAAAAGTAAGTGTAGATACAGGGAAGCTGATGGACTTACTGTATCCAGTTTTTTAATTTCTTCAATTTTATTCATCTTTACCTACACAGATTCAGATCCCCCTCCAGCTCTCTGTTTATTTTTCTTCTTCCTGTCCTTCCTCTGCTCCTTCTCTTTAAATGCAAAATGCATATTATATACAAGTATAACCTCCCCACTGAGTTTTAATCAGTTTTTTTTCTCTGCACAGTCCCTTCAGTCTGAGTATGTTCAGTACTAAAGCCTTGCTGTTTTGGTGAGACCTGATGAGCTCTGAAAAATGGAAGGCCTTCATTAAGGAGAAGAACTTAAGGAAGGAAGGTGGTCACTCAGAGGAGGAACCTTCAATACAAGATATATTAAAACCTTAACACCAAGAGGAGACTTCTTAACAGACAGAAGTTTCTTGTTAATGACTACTGCAGATGCACTGATGTTGAATTTATGGAAATTATTTTACCCCATGTTATATACAGATTTAAATTTTTAATGCTGAGACAGCTTGAATATATTTCTAATGAGTTTCATTAAGACATTTATTAACTTGTGTACAGTGTTAAAAATATGTATTAAGAGAATATTTTGGTAAGCAATATATATAAAAATTATGTAAAAATTAGAATATATTTTAATTTAGTGTTGTTCACTTTGCTACAAAAATGTGTTTTAAAGAATTTTTATGTTTCTATCAAAGATGAAAATTTTTTTATTAATGATGTTTTTCTTGTTTTATGGGTCCATCATTATTGCTAAAAGCTTAATGTAATTACTTTTTCACTAATTGGTCTTTTGGAAACTTAAGGGAAGTCTAACTAGTGAGAGGTTAGTTATCATAGTATCAACTGAAAGCACTTGATACATGGTCTGCTTTCCACTTTCAGCTGCTAATGTTTCATAAGGAAACACTATGAAAGAAAAAATGAAGGGAAAATATTTGTTGAGATGTAATGTAACTTACATCTTCCATTGCAAAGAGAAAGTAATTTATCTGATGATTCAGTTGTACAGTGAACGCTTTCTTTCAATTTGTCTTAAAGGAATGTTTTAACTTTTTTCAGTGTAGAATGTTAAATTTTGCTATGCAATATATACTGCAAAAACAAAGGCAGACCAAACTTCAGTTGGTAAGAATGTGTATGTACAGTGACTTTGGCAGTGCTGCATACTTACATGTTTTTAACCTACATTTGGCAGTACGTCTACAGTTTCATTAGCAAAGCATACTAAAGTAAGTGTTGTAAGTATATTAGATTTTCACTTATCAATTGGATGCTTCATGAACTTTTTAATTTGAAAACTATTGTTAAACGTACAGCTAACGTAACCTCCGGTATCACAGAATGCTTTCGTCAGTAGTAAAGATTCTCTTTAATGTATAGTTTAATCAGGTGTGATTAGGAATGAGACTTGGAATGAAGTGGTATTACAGTGAAGTATTAGAGATTGTGTGTAAAATTTTCAAACTCTGCAAGTGCATAGTAAGCAAAAAAATGTAAGCAGCTGTGAGGACTCGGTTTCCCACTAATTTAGAAAACCAAAGCAAAACAGATTTGTTACCCATGATTTTTTCTGATATCTACAGAAACCTGGAAATAAAATATGGTTGAATTGTCAGTCTTTATTCCTGAAGACCTGTGAATGCCCTGAATTTACTTGACAACTGAAGTTAAGATAAAGTGTCACATTTTTTAAAAAATATCAGATCACAAATTGCTATGAAAAATTGTACTGAAAGTGTTAATATGCAGTACTGAGAGAAGCTATACAAATCACTGAATAAAATTTACACACAATACTGTACTTTTTTCACAACTGTGTATATGTAACATATACACACACAAAGTAGCATAAGTGTGTGCATATATATACAATATACTGTATATGAATTATAGATTAATGGTAAGGTAATTCTACCTCTTATAAAGAATTTTGTCATGTACTTTGTTATAAATAGTTTTCCTTAATAAAATATTGTTTAATTTTGAAATGTAGATATGTATCTATACATACAGCTAATTGATAATAAAATGCCTTTATCAGCCAGCTTCCTTGTTTCTTGGCTTTTCTTACTTAGATCTTTTGATGTAAACTAATATGACTAGATCTCTAATTGAAAAGCAGCTCTTCAAAAACTACCTTCTTTCATCTAAAGCATGTAATGTATTTATAAATAAGATGGCATTGCAAAAAGACATTAGTATGACAGGTATCTTTTATAACTGATCGCTCTAGCTAACATTCTTGTGTTTGCTTTGTATAACATCAAGTTAAAATAATCAACGTGTTGATATTCTGATGTAAAGGTCGTATTTCAAAATACCATAATTTAAATGCTGTGTCTGAATTGAGGAAACATTTTTTCCTGGACAAGGACCCTTGTTAAAGGTGTAATATACCTTGTCTTTTTTGCATGTACAACAGGTTTCTTAGTCTCACTAACAGCAGGATCTTTGTCTGTAAGAACCTAAAAGATCATGCTTTCATTTAGGTTTTTACCCTTCCTTCGAGTAAAAACTAGTCCCAAATGGTTCTAACACTGTTTAACTCTGCTGCTGATTTTCAGCAAATTTTTTGTGTTGCATGATTATTTATCCACTGTATATTCCTGTCAGATAAGTGTGTATTGCAACAGATGATGTAACTGTTACACAGCTATCCTAAAGGAATGGCAAAGCCAGAATAGAAACAGATGCTTTAGAAGTTACCCAAATTCTAGTGACAGTTGAATCTAAAAACACAATAAAAGGCTTCTGCCACTACATTCAGACAATTAATGCATGATGATTTGGATGTGTAGGGTGAATATGAAGGAAGAACAGATAATTAAAAAGCTTCTTGTACGTAGTATGTCTCTCAGCCTTTTTCTAGACCTAACTTCTATTGATTTATTATGCAAAATACAGTAAACACCAGCTAATGTACTATACATTTTTTGTTCTTAAAAATGAATGATAAATATAGCCAGTATTCTGTAACAATCAGCTTCTTAACAACAAACTTGGGACAGTGAAGGGTCAGAGAGGTCTTTAGAACCTTGTAGCTTTTAAGAAACACCCTGAAATTTGTTTCTTATTCTCTGTTTGCTTATCCTTGATCTTTACCATTTCTGTTGCTTCATATATAAATATACCTCTCTGTTCTGGGAGAACAAGCTCTAGCATATGAGATCTTTAAAAACAGGTTTGATAAACATGTAAGGATGGATTAAACAGATCTAGATATCTCTACTGGGCCTGTGACTCTGTGGCTAATGCCTTATGAAACTGTTCATTGTCTCTTTAAAATACGCTTTATGAAGCTTTTTTGTTAGGGAGATACTTGTTACAGATTTAGAGAATATTTTTCAATTACAGTACTGCAGAAAAGAGGAGGATTTTAGTTTCTATAATAACTGTTCTCTACTGACAGCTAAACAATGAAAGGCCTCAAAAGGTTTGACACTTGATTAGATCTACACTGTAAAGTGCAGCAGGCAAAAAAATATGGTAATTAAGGGCCTGATCAAGTAAGTCACTCAGGTATGTCTTCAACCTTAAGCACATGAGCAATCTAATTAATTAGAAAAGAACATAGGTATTCATGCTTGTAAAAAATCCCCATTTGGATCAATAGTCCTGTCAATTACAAACATGAGCCTTTCTGTCAAATAAAAGATGTTATGTTGCAACAAAATAATCCACTGACCCACACAATTTAACTTCACTATCTTAAAGGATTCATACTGTATCTATAATTACATCCTAATATATTATTTTGGTATTGTCATTTGTTACTATAATGAGTTTAACAATATCTAAAACCACCTTATAAAGATATTTTTAGTCAATATACAGGTCATGCCTTATGAGCTGAGATTGCTTGTTTCTGTAGCCCACATATAACCCACTGGTAAAAGCAGCTTTTCTCTTAAACTCAATATAAAATTCATTGACATACCTTTTCTAGAAAGCTTTTGAGAGGAAATGTAACTGTTACTCAGTTTCTTATTAAAACTTGTTCAGGGTAAGGAGAGTTAACATTTTGTCCTTGCTTGAGTAAAGCTCTGTAGAGTTCCTGGGAGAATCCCGCTACAAACTCTCCTCCATTCTGGAAGGGACTGTTAAGCCCTACTCTGCAATCAGCTTTAGCCAGCCTAAGAACCTGTCACTCACCTCTGAGGGAACTTGTGCTCTGAATTAATTTTGGTGCAAGACCATTTTAAACACTACGCTGATTCTGTTCTACCTGTGTAGTTACTGATGCTAGCATGCACCTCCAGCAGATTGGTGATGCAGGATTTCCTGTGGGCTGAGACAGGCTGAGTTTTATGAAAAAATGTAAACAGGTAGATTGAGGACCAGCTTCCTCTAAGAAGTACTGTCTCACCAAGGATCTTTGTATCTATTGTGTTTGAAAGATTTAATTTGGAAAGTATATTGTTGTTCTAGACCAATTTTAAAATTAACTCCAAGCTTCCAGAAGCATAGTGTGCTCTTAACAAAAATAGGATCAGAAAAAAATCAGTTTGAGTATCTAGCAGAGGAGTTTCTACAGTAAATGGATTGTATTTCAGACAGAAGTGACTGATACTGGTTTGAAAGCTTGCTGCAAATGAAAGTTGTGTAAATGGGTTAGAACTAGGAAACCGGTAAGGCAAAGAGAACGAGTCAGACTGTAGTTGCAGTATTTCTGGAGCATGATAGGGTTTAGTTTTTTTTTTTTTTTCTTCTTGATTTAACAAGTTGAAAATCTGCTGAATAATTCATGAAGAGTGGAAGGGCTGAATCTTCCTGGAATGATATACAGTGTACGTACTGTGGCACAGGAGAAACTGCAAAGCTTTGTATCAGTTGCTGCTGTTTCTGCTGCTGATTGCAAGGTGCTGCTGCTGCTTTTGGCATTTTCACAGCAACAGAATCCTCAGTTGTGCTCTGGGCTGCTAACAGCTATCTGCTCCTTATGGACCCACCTTCACTAGCTACAACCTGTGGGATCTCTTGTGATCTACCTGCCTTGGACACTGCTGTTCTCTGGATCGTTACTGTGAACTGCGTTTTCTGGACTTTGTACCTTGTATGACTGAAACCTGCCTTAGAGTCCCTCAGCTGCACATCCTCCCTTTTGCTTGGTGGGGGACTCCTGCAGGAGGATCTTCTGACCCAGACAAGGATGGGATTTACAGGGAGAAGCCAAAACTGAGCTACATTCAGCGAGATGCCCAACGCCTCTTCCTGGAGTGCTAGCTCGCCTCTGCTGCTGCTCTGGGAGGACTCCTCTGGGACCCACATCTTCCTGTCGCTGCTCTATGCAGTCTTAGCTATCTCAGGGACTTTATCCAATGTGATGGTCATCTACTTGGTCTTCTCCTTCAAGAAGCTGCAGACGACCAGCAATGCCTTCATCGTGAACGGCTGTGCGGCAGACCTCAGCGTGTGCGCCCTGTGGATGCCCCAGGAGGCTGTGCTGGGGCTGCTGCCGCCCAACTCCTCCTCCCTTCGCTCGGCCGAGTACCGGCTGCTGCGAGGGGGGCTCCTGGACCGTGTCCCTGGCCTCTCGCCTGCTTGTGGCCTTCAACAGGTACGTGCTCATCACCAAGCTGCCCAGCGTGTACCAGGCCCTCTACCAGCGGCGGCACACGGGCTGCATGATCGGGCTCTCCTGGGCCCTCGCTCTGCT